AAAAAAAAAACAAAATTAACACCTTCATTTGAATATTTTCTCTTTACAAATTAATGTCAATGGTGACGGTTCAACAGTGGCTTACCTTCAAAAACTCCCACTAAAAAAAAAAAAAGAAAAGAAAAAGAAAATACCAGAGTTTGTAAACCGCATGTTAGATAGGGAGACATGTAGAGAAAAAGATAGGTGATCAAAGTCTTGAATAAGGGCAAACTGTTGTTGCCTCCAAAACAAAACAAATGCGAGTGTGATTGCATTTTGAAAAAAAATTAAAAATTCAAGTGGCGAAGAATTCTTGAATTGCTTTTATTTTTTTTTAGTAGTGATTGTATTACACCAAAAATTTATTCAACGACACAAGGTTTACAAACACCTATCATGTTTTCGAGCAGGTATTCTCTAAGCTAAGTAACTTCTCAAAAAGTGAAATCCTTTCTTAAAGGGATAAACTCATATATTTCTCTTTGATCAAATATTACCTGTAGGTTACCTAATTCTCGCTAATTAGGTTAAGAATTCTAAAATATTGAAATAGTTTTTTCTTTTAAATTGAGTTCCAACTGTGACTTATATCCAACTTATATCCACAAATGCTCACCCTTTAAAATTTTTAAGCCTGTGTGGTGCTGATTCAGGAAATCCGGGCTCTTATATAATTATTATAAGATACAGAGTCCATCATCATAAGAGAAATGATCATAACTAAAATGATGAAAAAGATAGTCAGATATATCACTAATAATTTCAGTCTTCATATTGAATGAAATATGAAATCTTACCTGCAGCCTGACTTTATTTTTGTATTGATTGATTTGATTTAAGATAAGATGTGACAAAGATGTATTACTGGTAAAAGTAACCCAGTATGATAAATTTTTCCATCAAAATCCCTCACAAATTGAAAAATAAATATTAATTAAAAAAAAAAAAGACAAATGATCAATAAATTCTGAAAGTCCCATTTACACATGGTTTCTTATCGTCAGAATAAATCTGTTATTGAAAATTGGAAATCATCCCCTATGGTTTTTAGGTATTTGCAGATTGTCCATGGTAGTTTTTTTCTTTGCAAATCAAACCATGTAGTATTTGACCTCTTGAAATGAACCCAAATTGGACAGTGGATGCTAGCCAATGCATAACTTCATTAGAGCATGTACAATGAGAATTCTCTCATATTGTTCTTTTTCAACAAAGAATAGAGACAGAACTCTATTCCGATTGGAGACCATTTATTTTCTAAGTTTGTCTCTCTGTAATTAATTTTTTTTGCCCCTAAAGGGATAAAACAATGTTTTTTGCAACGCTTGACATGTTGTTAGCACATGTTAGGTAATACAGTCTTTTTTGATCTAACGGCTAAAAGGCTCCTATTTTTTTTTTAAAATTCAAATTTTTTATTTGAATATATAAAATATAAGTTGAATTAAATAGTGTTGGTTTGACTTTTGAGAAAATTCTATGTATTGGAAAAGAGATGTTTTGTTTGAGAGTTAAATATATAAACATTTGAATTTATATAAAATAATATTGATATTGATAATATGACATTAATAGGACACCAAAGTGAGGTTTGGCATTATACATGCTCTTAACTAGTTGATTACATATCCATCGTTAACCTAGTTGGCACTAGTGTGGCAAATATTTTTTTTTATTTTTATTTTTTTGCATTTACATAATGACTAAAATGCCTATATCATCTTCTTCCCTTCATCCTCTCTCTCTCTTTCTCTTTGTTTTCTTTCATCTACCTTTTCCCTCTCAAATCCCTACTTTAGATTATTTATGGTACCTCCTCAACCACTCCTTCACAGGACAAACTCCCTCAATTCCTCAACCCTAACTCTCCCAACTCTTAATTTTGTCTAAATTTCATGTGTGCATTTCAAAATCCCACACCTTTCAAATACATATATGTAATAACTCACCTTGACTTGGCAACATTATTTGGATCTTCGATGGACCTTAACATGTACTGCTTCTACCTACAAAATTTGTTGGGCACAATGCCAACCTGCAATTGAGTGAACTCATTGCTACCTCACCTCATTCAGATCAGAATCGAGGACTCTTTTTCTCTTGAGTTGGCTTAATTTGTAGAATCTACCACACCTTGCTCTTCTTATTCTCAAATAGAGCCCAGAGAGTACGTAGTCCCCTTAACTCAAAATCGAATTATATCCATATAGTGAGGGGATGACAAAGGAAAGGGAAGATAACATATTAATAAAATTTTGTTGCCAATACATATAAGGGAGGATATGGCTAGAAGATAGATGAAGGGGAGAGAAAGAGAAAATGATTTTAAATTTCATAAATGCTTTTTTTTTTTTCAATATGGATTGCACTTCTTTTGGGCTTTAGGTATTGAAATCACAAAACAGCATTAATAAAGCTCTACCTTTCATGTTATTTATTTATTATTTTATTTTTTGAACAAGGGCAATTTTGAAGTAGGGGAAAGGGATTTAACCCAATCTATGAGACTGGGGACACACTGTTAACCAATTAGCCTGTCTGCCTGTGAGATCAAGTGTACCTTTCATGTTAATTTGTTAAGGGTGTTTTAATAATTTTAATATTTGAAAGTACAATTTATACTAAAAAATAAAATTCCTTAAATTTCATTACTCAAATGTGCCATATTAACAAAGGAGGAGCAATTTAGACAAGTCATTTGAACAAAAAATTGCCACACTATTAACTTGTTAACGGAATGTTGATATTAACTAATGTTAGTTGATTTTTGGTCAATTTCAGGGAGTCGAACATTACAGGTTTCAATGAGAAAAAAAAATCAAGACTGATTTGCAAAATCTAGCAAACCATTTGGGTAGCCATTTTGCCAATTATTATTAGTTAGTTTTTTTTTTTTTTAATTTTAATTACACAATAAAAATAATCATTTTTCACCCTTAACTGCTCAAGAGTTACTTATTAGTTAGTTATTAATGAAAGTGGAATTCATGAGCTTGAGGTCGTGGGGGCGTGTTTGCATCAAACTATTTACATGTCCCACATGTAGACTTCTCATAATACATAAACAATCAAATTCGTTAACCTAACATTAAATCACTGGACTTCCGAAGAAAACTAAATTTAGTAAGATAAGTTCATAAAATAGAAAGGAAACTAGAAGTCTACTCATCCCAATCATTTTCTAACTGTACTCATATCTGAAACATCAATGGCGCCCAAAGAAAAATCAAGATACTGGGAAGAATTCAGGAAAGAAAAAATTGGGAAAGTGGAAGAAACTAAACACAATAATCCATTTATCTCATATTTCACCATTTCATAAGCAGAAAGTGGGGTTTTTTTTTTTTTTTCCCAAAAACAAAACCAGATGAAAAAATAAAGGAGAGAAGGTAAGAAAGAAGAAAAACCAAATCTGGTTCACAGGGATCCATTTTCCGGTCGATCAAAGTGGAGAAGTTGACCGGTGCATTTGGGGCAATCTTCCACTCGCTTGGGGACCATGAAATACATGAAGCAGCTCTTGCAGCCGGCTACAACCAGGACGTTTTCTTTCTCTTTCTCTTTCTCCACCCACCGTCGATCGCTGTAATGTTGATCTCTATCTCTTGAAGGAGAGGACTCCAACGAAGACTCCTCGCTTTCGTAAGAGGCCTCACCATCTTCATCTTCTGAATAAAAATCTCCACTGTACTCCTCCGTTGTCCTTGGATCCTCCTTCGCTCTCATCCCGTTCCTCCAGTTTATATAATAAATCTCCCCAGTCTGTAATTAAATAAGAAAAAAAAAAATTTACTTCTAATACACGATTGAGTATTGTAAGCCATAAAAGGACTTTGCTATCATGATTCACTGAGACTCAGTTTTCAATTCGGACTTAAAAAAAAAAAAAAAACCACTAGAAAGTGCCATCTAAAGCGGGATGTGAATCAATTCCAAAATGAAAAAGCAATCAAAAGTGCGAACCTGGAGGAATGTGTGTGCGAGAGAGTGAAAGCTGGAACCAGGAAGTATTTAATAATGCAAGAGGAATAAAGAACAAATCAACAAAAAGCCATAAAAAAAAAAAAAAAAAGCAAGATCTGCCATGGTTTCGCATTAATTGCGTCTGAAACACGAAAGGGACAGAAAACTTGGTTCCAAAGACACACACAAAAGAAGAGAGAGAGAGAAGGAAATAGATAACGAACCTTTAGATCGAGGCATTGTTCCCAGTAGCAAGGGAGAGAAAGGTGAGAGTTGAGCTCTAAGGTGGTGTCGGAGACGCCGTTAGGGAGGTTATTGTCGTCCGATGATGATGACGACGACGAGGGCGACCTTCTTATTCCGTTTTCCCCTCCGCCACTTCTGTGGCGGTTTAAAGAACATTTCTGTAGAGACCTTTCCAAAGACGCCGTGATCGTCGCCATGTTCGGTGCTGCTATCACTACCGGAGAATCGCAAAGAATTCCGACGGAGATGGAAATCGCAGGAGAGAGCAGGAGAGGAATGAGGTTTTGAAGGGAATAAATTGGAGACCGTGGAAATGGAGGTGATTCCTTTTAGTTTTAGTAGGAAATAAACACAACAAGACGCTCCTGTCAACGCGCGTGGAAATATTGTGCGAAACCTCTGAGTGGGCCCCGGGATGTCAGCACCACGAACCACTGTGGCTTGGCTTTTGTCTTCTATTATTGAAATTTCTGAGACGCGGGCTGTGGCGCTTGAGGTAACAATTGGGATTACGAGGAAAAAGAGGTTTTGGTCAAGGCAGCGTTTGGTATAGGAAAAATTAAAAAGCAATAGAAAAAGTGGGGCAAAATTATTTAGGAAGACGAGGGCATATGACTTTTAAAAGAGTTTCCTCTTTGCAAGAACACCAATGATCTGTATATGATCCGAACTAGAATGGGATTATTAATTTTTTTTCTTAAATAAAATTTTAAATTTGAGTTTTATAAATAAAAAATAAAAAAATTGAGAGAGTTTTTTTTTTTATAATATCTAACTTAATTTAA